TCTGACCCTCCTCCCTCTCATGTGCTCTCTCTCTCTCATTCTCTCTGTATCAAATAAATAAATAAAATCTTTAAAAAAAAATAAAAAATAAACTCTGCTGCTTTCTATCGTGTGAGTCTTCATAAGTCAATTTTCTCACTACATGATATTAAGAACTTTAAGGAACAATTAGGGTGTTGTCAGTTTTGAGTCTAAATGCTCAAATTTGCCATTGCCTTCATTACCATTTTCATATGATTTGAAAAATAATAGGCATGAGATTTTCATAATTATAAAGGTAGTATGTATATATTGTATAGAATTCTGAAAGTATAAAACTCCCTCTCTTTTAAAATCTCCCAATAAACAATAACCAGACTCACTGTTTTAGGTTCCTACTGCTGCTATAACAAATTCCTATAGGTTTAGCGCCTTAAAACAACTCAGTTTGTTATTGCATAGTTCTGGAGGTCAGAAATCTGACCCAAGTCTCAACAGGCTAAAGTTAAGGTGTCAGCAGGGCTGTGTTCATTCTGGAGGTTTTAGGGGAAAATCTACTGCCTTGCCTTGTCCAGCTCATCAAAGTAGCCCCATTCTTTGGCTTGTGGCCCCCTTCCTCCATCTTGAAAGCCAGAAAATTTGCATCTCTCCTATCATTCCTCCATACGCACAGCTCTCTCTGACTCTCTTCTGCCTCCCTTTTCCACTTTTAAGGACCCTGGTGATTACACGGGCCTACCTGAATAACCCGGGATAATCAAGGATCATCTATTTACTGATTAGCATTGCAACCTTAATTCCTCTTGCCATGTTAAGCAACATTCACAGTTCTAAGGATTAGGACATGGATATCTTTGGGGGTGAGGGAGTGTCATTATCCTATCATACTCATAATCTCTATTCAGTATCAGTAATCATAAACACTTCTGAAAAAGATTTGAGAAACAGAGAGAGAGAAAGAGCGTGAGTGAGTTGGGGGGGAGGGGCAGAGGGAGAGAATCTTCAAGCAAACTCCCCATTGTGCGCGGAGCCCAGTGTGGGGCTCCATCTCACCATCCGTGAGATCATGACCTGAGCCAAAACCAAGAGTTGGCTGCCTAACTGACTGAGCGACGCAGGCGCCCCAGTAATTGTATACATTATAATTTCCTAATCTTTGTCAAGTTCACATATATGCAAATATGTACTACATGTAATAGACTGTTCCCCACTTTAAAGTGGAATAATGTCTCTGCTGGGAATGGAGTTTTCTGAATAACTGTAGACCATGCTTTCAGTTTTCTGAATAACATGTAGGTCATTCTCTACTGGTTTATAATCAGTAAAGCTACTTTGAATATAATAAGTGGATACTGAAGAGTCAGTATCCCGTTCCCTTTTCTCCATTCAGAAACGAGTAGAAGTGGAGTGAATGCATTGAATGCATTCGTGTATGTTGACTTAGGAGTTGGTCGAATTTGGCAAAGAAGTTTTAAAACTTTTTCCTGGGAGGAACCAGAGTTGTTCCAATGAAAACCGCATCAATTGGCAGTAGTGAAACCTGGATGTGTTCACACTTGTAACACAACCTTGTATTAATCATACTCAGCCTACTGAGTTCTGAGAAAAAGAAATTATTTATACATTCTAATAATTTGTGTCTAAATGGGCAACTATTTCCTTTCTCCTGCAGTGTTCTAAGATTACACAAATGTAAAGAACAGTACTCTTGATATCAGATATTTTTCTGCTGACAGGCTACTCATGAGTCATCATCAAAGATTTTTATAGGATTGTCCTCACACACTATTCTCTAGGGAGTTGAAAGCAGTATAGCAATTCATTCTTGAAAAATTTCAAAATAACAATATCTCTTTGAGTAATCAAGTAAAATCAAAACCATTGGGACTTTATTTGAGTAACTTAATTATAACTACAAAGGATAAGCTGTTTATTTATAGACCACCTTTTGCCCGAAGATTATAAATCACTAAATTATTATGTTATCCCTTGAAAGACAGGAAGAGACATTATGGTAAAGTTTATCTTATCTGGTGATAAGGGAGAGGGTCTCTCATTCCAACTTTCCCCCCTTTTCTCATCCCCCAAATTTCAAACTGGTGTAAGGATGAGCGGCAACTGAGGCCAGATATGGGGGACAAATAATAAGAGTCCCTTGCTGTGTTTTTTTTTTTTCTTCTTAAGATTTATTCGTTTGAGAGGGAGAAAGAGAGAGAGAGAGAGAGAGAATTTGCACAGGAGCGCAAGCTGGGGGAAGGGGCAGAGGAAGAGGGAGGGGAGGAGGGAGAATAGAAATCTCCAGCAGACTCCTCGCTGCGCAGGGAGTCAGCACCTGCGTCAAGGCTCTATCTCAGGACGCCGAGATGATGACCTGAACCCAAATCAAGAGTCAGATGCTTAACCAACCGAACCACCCAGGCACCTCAGGAGTCCCTTGCTGTTTCAATCCAGGTGTGATCTGGGGTCTCCCTGACCCCTGCTGTCTAGATAAAATGAAATCAGTCCCCCAATTTCAAGGCTTGTGGTCGACTTCTCTAAATTCCTGGGCAGTTTACAGCCTCAAAGCCGCCTCTGGCTCCCCACGTTTGCTTTCTTAGTTTATGGATTATTTCAGGGTCACACGTTTTGCTTCTGCTCCTGAGCACATTGACTCATATGTCACATTCAGGCTCCTTCCCAGTTTTCACCCCCCCCCCGCTCCCCCGCCCCCCCATCCCTCAGCCCACTCGCACAAGGTGGTCCGCAGGACCGGTTGCTTGACTGAGACGTGGGGAGAGATGAAGTAGAGACCTTGCCAAGGGAATTTCCACTCCGCCACCCTTCCTCCTTTACCTGGTGCCCCAGTTTTTTGTCAGCATCGACTGGGCTCCTCCTCCCTCTTAGAGGCAAAACAAATTCCTCTCGTTTTATCATGCAGAACTGGTCAGTCATTTCTTTTGTTTCCTCAGCACCTTCCCGACCCTGGGTGCTCACCTACTCCAAACAGACTCTCAGGTATTTCCTAAGAATTCTACCGCCAGCTCTTAAGATAAAATATAGAGGGCTGAAATTTTTATCATTTTAAAACTCCAGTGTTTTCAGCCCAGAGAAGACTAATGTTTCTTTTATTCAACAAATAATTTTTTTTTGTAGCTTATTTTGTGCCAGACATTATTACCAGAGCTGGGAACGCAGCCGGGAATTAGACACAGTCCCCGCCCTCATGGAGTTGGTTTAAAACCTTTCTCCTCCATAAGACAAGCAATGATGTGAATAATTAACAACTGTGGTAAATACCACAAAGGAAAATTGCTGGAGTATTATCTGGAAGGGCGTGGTTGTGGCAGAAAGGGGTGAGAGTTAAGGGAAGTTTTCCCCTCATGACTTTTAGTTTGCCCAGGATTAGAAAAGGCTGGTTTACTCCTTGGCCACTGTTCTTCTCTCGGCCAATGCTGCCTCTGAAGACACCACTAAGATAGGAAGGACAGCATTTGTTAAGTTTCTGTCCTAAATTAACGAATCAATTCAACAAACACTTACTGAGGGGCTGACATGTACCAGGTACTGTGCTAACAATATAAGGAACTTATCTACAGCCTAGAGGGGGTGACAGAAAATATACAAAAAAAACAAAACAAACACAAAGAATGAAGTATGTTTTCAGAGAGTATGAAGTGCAGTAACCGAAAAACAGTGGCTAGTGTCTAGCTACAGGTGAGTTATGTTCAAAGTTCCCAAGGCAGAAAGTAACACAAGGTTGGCCTGTCTGACCAGAGACAAAATTATGTGAGGCCAGAACAAATGAGAGAAGAGGGGTTGGAGGTTCTTGGTGTGGAGCTAGGACCCTGCTTAGGGAGGGTTTTATAGGCCATGGGAAGAGTTAAGGTCTTTTTCCCCCCCCCGAGTAAAATGTAGTAAGCGGTAGGGGAGTGACATACCTGATTTGTATTGTAAGAGATCATTTCAGGTACAGGATAGAGAATAGATTGTTTATCATCCTTTTACAATAAAAAACCCCAAACATCTATTTGAGACAGGGAAGCTGAAAGGACCCTATGAAAGACTGCTTTTTTGCTGCCTCTATTCTTGCTAGGACC